TCCTGCTGATGCTCTCGCATTGCTCTTTTCCTCAGGGCTTCCTGTCTGGCAGCCTCCACTTCTGCTGGGGTTTTCTTGCATTTAGCCAGGTAAGTGCCATTCTCCGCTTCAGGTGGAGGTTCTTTTGTGAGGTATGGTACATCGTCATTAGAGCTGCACTGCCTTGTTATATTGCTACAGATCTTTTTACGTTCAACTGGCTGGACCTCGGGGTTGATATGATGTGCTGGAGCATCTAAGAGGCGAGAACATCCATTGGAAACCGCATTGGAAGCCCGGGTCTCCTCTGCACTGGTGGCTGCTGTACGCAGGCCAAGCTGTTTCTGTTTCAGTCTTACAGCTAAGGGAATCATGGCCTCCTCCTCCTCTTCGCTGTCACTACTGACCATCAACACGTCACTTCTAGCAGCTCCAGCAGAGGCGTGGACCTCCAGAGATGAAACTGGATCAGCAACAGGAGCCATTTCTGAGTCTGAACTGTCTAAAACCACCAAGTTGGGCTGTCTGGATTTTGACTGTGAGAAATCAAACACAGGCAGCTCCTCTGAATCACTGGAGTCACTGTCACTTAGGAGGAATCCAGGTCTACCGATGCAGGTCATGCTGAGCTGTCATACAGAGATCTCAATCCGAAGGAAAGTTCAAATTAAAATACAATTTAACACGCAGGGCTCAATACAGATTTTCTATATAACGTTATTATATTATAAGTACTTTTCATTTTTATATTAAAAAAATATATATATTATTTTTATAATAACATTCACAACCTCAATATTGTGTTATTCATTCTTTTAAAAAATTATAATAATTATGAAAACAGTGCAGCTACAATTTAACTCCAAGACAGATTCACAAACATACTTTTGCTGGCACACGATGGTATACTGTCAATTGTTCATCAATTTTTAAACTATTATAACTCATGTTTTCAACACTACCACAAATCACTCTTATAGTTTTAGCAAAATATGATCTGCTAAGGAGATATAACTTTTTTTTAAATCAACAGAACTCACAACAGTTTTCAATACAATCACAG